TCGCAGGCTTTAGCTTGGGAGTGGGCTTCATGGTTGTGGAGAACGGCGTGTACTCGAGGAAGTTTCAAAGCATCTTTCAGTTTCTTGCGCAGCGTGCAAGTGAAACCGGCGACGATGCTCTCATGGGCTTTGCCGTTTGGAGCGGAGTGAAATTTCTTCTGTGCCGGATTTTCCTGAACCCCCATCCATACCTGACAGGCATCTCGGCTGGCCGATTCGCGAAGATCGCGGGAGATCTTTCCCAAAGGCAGCGGTTGACAGCCAAGATGTTGTTCAACGTGCTTTGGCCGTCCGCCATTCTGCATGCACTTAGCAACTTGTCTGGTGGACTGCTTGTGCGCATCTTCTGCTTCATGATTTGTACAAAGGTGTTTGCTGACACTTGGAACAGCTTGGCAGAGCCGGATGGTCAGTCCGAAAGCGGCCAAGAGCTTTGAACAATTGCCAGAGAAGAGACGGTAATCTCTGGCAGTTGGACGGCGGATTTTTCAGGCACTTTGGGCCTGTACAGGCGCCTTTGACAGCTACCAGACATTTGCGGAGAAAGCGAGAGCGGCTTCTGAGAACAGGATTAGTTGCCTTTCCAACTATCTAGCGTAGATTTTGTGTTGATGTGGAGCGAGCAAGCATCCAAGTCCGAATTTGGGAACTGGGGCATGAAAATGAGATACCCGGCTAATCATTGCGATTGTGAGATAGAACTTCCTGCCAATTGTAATTCATATTTCAATTATAGTGACTGTGTGGTGGCAGTCGTGTGGATGAGTTGGTCATACAATTGGTGTCATTTACGTATTTGATCTGTGCCATGATTGCAAGCGCTGCGAGTCATGTCCGGACACATTTGTCATGCCTTCTATTCTGCTGCTTCAAGCCGGATGTTGACACGAGGGCAGAGTTGGACACTGTGTGCAGGGCTGTTGGGCTGGTGAGGGTAGAACTTCCGCAAAGCGATTCGCTTCCCAAGTTGATTGGCGGGGATTCGTTCTTGGTGCCCCCTTGCTTGATTGATGTCAGAGGAGTAGCTTTGCTGTTTGTGTGGCCGGGAATGTGTGAGTCACAGATCTCTGTGGTGGATTTGACAAGATGGACCTTGAAACTGATTTGACCGGACATGGTATATCCAATCAATACCCGGACATTCGCATGGGTATGGGTCAAAATTAAACCACCAGGGGACCGCAGGTGTTCCTCCTTGGTTCAATTTGCCGGGGTTCCATTTTGTGTGCGTATTGTTGACAACCACAGCCACATGTTGATCCACCCATTGAAATCGACCGGACACCAAGCGATTTGGAAGGGTTCCCAATTCCGCCCAGCGCGTTGCCGGCACCGAGGGCTCCTCTTTTCCCGGGCACCTCGGCAAAAAACCTGCGATGAGCCTCGATGTTGAAATCGTCGTTTGGGGATGGGGCATGACTGAGCATTTTGTTTGGGTGAACATAGATGGCAGACGTTTTGATTTAATTAATCACGTACCCGTGCCATCTGGTTTTCCAACAGGACATTTAAGGCTTGGTGGCCTCCAGCCGTCCCCTTAGCTTTGTGGGCTTTTAGGGGTTAGTGGTAGTTTCCATTCAACCCACCAAAAGTTAAGCTTTTAGCAGGGGATCCGAGGGCCGCCCAGAAGGGTATGAGTTCTCGAAAAGACGGCCTTCCGCGTCAAGGACCTGGCAGTCCTTCCGCTTGTTTTCTTTGCTCCTTCCGAGGTGAGGTGCGATGGCACCTGGTGTTGGGTGCTGGACTCTGCTACGGACTTGGCTGGGCTCCCAGAGCCGCAGCTCAATGTTGACCCCAGATGAAGCAAGCCCTGTTTAATAGGGAAGAGGGCACTGCCCCCAATAAAAATCAACCAATCGGTTTATTCATAGGGTGCTTCTGGGTTTAGTGGGCAATCAGACCACTTTTGGAGGCGGTGTGCTCCCCCCTATTCATAAACTGATTGGTTGATTCATATAGGGGGAGCGCATCGCAGTCCCCAGGCAGCGGCATCTATGTCAGCGTGGATTATGCCCACCGCTCAGAGGGAGATCTTGCGGTGCACGTGGCCCTCGGGTGCGGGCTTTCGGTTTCAGGCGTTGGCGCTGGACTGCTTGCCAGAGGGCAAGACCACCGCAGAGGCCTTCGGCTTGTGGGGTGTGGCAGGCAGGGCACAACTCACGAGACAGGAGACCAGGGGAACTTGATACTCTCTCTCTCTCTCATGCCAACTTGGTCCATTTTCGATATGCCGTTTCCGGAGAACCTTTCGAATTCAAATCCATTTCAGTGCCGCGTTGAGCGCAGGCTTCTTCGGCTCCACGGCTGGCCCGGTGGTGGCGGGGTTGCTGCTGGCTGCGAATCAGCTGTCCACGGAGCAGAAGGGGCGCCCGCCTGAGCTTTCCAGGGTTGAAGTCTGAAAGTCAGGGAGCCCCTTTTCACTTCCCCAGAATTAGCTCCCCTTTTCGTTTTTTGCTTTTTTGAAATCCCTTTGTTTTCCTCTAACTAGGCAAAAATATGTTATTTTTGCTGGGGTCCTAATTCCAGCCTAGTTCAATGGTGTTGACGGCGCTGAAATGGGTATGGGTCAAAAATGAAATCACCAGGATATGGACCACAGGTTTTAGCTTTCCATCTACCAGGGCTCCATTTGGGGTACCTATTTTTGACCCACAGCCAAATGAAGCCAAGGAAAGCAATGAGGTTTGGCGGAGTTGGTGGTCTACTTGTTGCACAGAGCATCCGACTAGTTCTTCGGGTTTTTAGGGAGGCCTCAACGACATCCACAACAGATATCTACGTGAAGAAACTATGGCTCTGAGCCAGAACACGTGTTTCGACTGGATGCGAATCCAGACATTTCATTTGTTTTTTTCGATTTTGGATTCTTGGAGCCTTCTTGGCTTTTCGGCTTCTTGGCTTCTTGGCTTTTTGGCTTCTCGGCTTCTGGGCTTTTCGGCTTTTTGTTGGTGTATGCGGCTTTTGGTGGCTTTTTGGCCTTGGCTTTTCGCATCCTCTGCATTCCCAGTTCCTCTTCGGCAGGTGGCGTTTTGGCTTTTGCGGCTTTTGCCTGGTTTATGCGGCTTTTGGGGGCTTTGGCTTTTCGCATCCTTCCCGCATCATCAGCATCACCAGTTCCTCACTATTTGGAATCATCACTTCTTCCAACATCATGGGGGGCGGAAGCCCCCCCCAACCCACCCGCTACCGCTTAGATTGTTTGCAGAGTAATTGCACCCTATTGAATCAACACTCTTTCAAACATCAGGGGGGGCGGCAGCCCCCCCCAAGCCCCCCGCTACTTTTTTGATTTCTTGCAGAGATTGAATTGCACCCCTATTTGAATCATCACTTTTTCGAGCGTCCAATTGCGCGAGAAATGCTGCAGAATACGACATTTAGGTAGTCTGTGCACTTCTTCGAACATCATAGGGGAAGCCGCCCCCGCCAACCCTCCCGCTGCCTTTTAAATTCTATCGCACCCTTTCTTGAATCATTCCACCCTACTTGAATCATCACTTCTTCCGACATCATGGGGGCGGCTGCCGCCCCCCCCAACCCCCCCGCTACGTTTTAGATTTTCTACAGAGATTTAATTGCACCGCTAGTTGAATCATCAATTCTTCGAACATCATGGGGGAGGCTGCCGCCCCCCAACCCCCTGCTACTTTTTAGACTTTTTGCAGAGATTGAATTGCACCCCTATTCGAATCATCACTTCTGCGAACATCATGGGGGGGGCTGCCCCCCCCTGCTTTTTTTTTTTTTAAATACGGACTCAAATACCATCCTATTTGAATCATCTTTTTTTGACCCCGTCAACCCGCCAGCTACTTTTTTTCGATTTTGTTACCCACGATTTGTTGGCGATGCTAGGGATGTTGGTTGTAAAATGCGTCAATTTCGCGAGAAAATGCTGTAACATACGACATTTTACTGGCCCGGACGAAACACGAGAAAAACAAAAAATCCGCACCCTTTCAATTTTGCGCAGCTTTAACCGGGACCCCCAAAAAGGACAGCCCATCCGGAGTCACAGCCGCTCACCTTGCAAGGCAGAAGGCAGAAGCCTGTTGCCCACCTGAGGCAAACCCCTGTCTCGCACTACTCTTACGAGGGCTACAGCATGGTCATGCTGCTGCTTGGGGTGCCTCATTTTGAATAACGCATGTTGATTCGGCTGTCAAGCACCCACCCCAGGTCTTCCAAAAGATCTTGCCCAGACTTTGCACATTCCCTGCCTCAGAGTCTTTCGAGATCACCCCATGGCGACATCCGGTGGGTCGATGGGTAAAGTGTTGATTCACTGCTCGCACGCTCCACACGTGAACACTGACCGGGCTGGCACTGACACTTTTGCAGAGCAAAGACAATTGGGTCATGATGCTGATGGGACATGCTGGTAATACTTGTGTGCCAAGAGCCCTAATCGAGAGGATCGCGTTGAAAGGCATGCAACCAGACTCGTTGCGAGTGGTTGATCCTGATGCAATTTCATGGATGAGGAACGGTTTATTAAGCGGGTGCAATGTCAGTGTGCTGTGCTTAGTGTCCTCAATACTGTATCATTTCATAGTCATGACAGCATGCTGAACGAAACACGGGGGAATTTGCAAATGTGGTTAAGCTCAAATGCGTTTCGTCACGACTGCCCGAGGTTTTCATGAACATCTTTGTGGTGGGTGCCACAATGTTCATAAAGGGCACCTCCTGAGAAATTCGGCGCATCGGGCAGAAGGCGTTTCACCTGAGGAGCGGGTCAGTTGAACGCGGCCATCACTGAGTGATGCGACGTCCCACATCTAAAGCTAGCAAGTTGGAAAAAGCTGCGGATCTTGCGGTTGCTCAGTCTTGAGATCTCGGAGTCAAGCTGGGCTGGCGGGGGCCATGTGGGTATGGGTCAAAATTAAGTCACCCGGGGACCGCAGGTTTTAGTCTACTTTTTGATTTGCTAGGGTCCATTTTGGGTACCTATTTTTGACCCACAGCCATGTGTTGGGCGTGCATGTCAAACCGCTTAGGTTGACACCTGTGCAACTGGCCCGAGCCCCAGTCGCCAAGAAAGCGCGCGCGAGCGTGAACTGGTTTTTGCCGAGGTGGGCGGGGACAAACGCCGGCAGACTGCCTGCTGGCAGAAGGGTAGGCCCATCCACATGGGCAGGTTGTCAAAAACATGGCTCCTTTATTAAAGCCTGGCATCATTTTGCGGGGTTCACAAAAGGGGGGGGTGCCGAAGGGGGCAAGGTGCCCCGCAGTCGGGGCTTGGCTTTCTTTGGCAAAGAGGCTTCGGGAACACAGGCTTCGGCACTGCCGTAGTTTGATCTCCGATCCAGGCCGCGAGTTGTGGAGGAGACGCTGCAGGGCAACATGTTCACTTGCAGCTGGCTAAGAGCCAAGGCTTGGATCAATGGGCTGGGCTGATGGGCGGCTCACCAGGCGTCTTCGCATCTGTGAACACCGCGCTGCTCCTTCTGGCCGCAATTACCGGATTCTTCTACCAGTATGCGCTGGCCACGAAGAGGAGAGAGCCGAAGAGTTGCTGCCTTTCAGGCTGCGGGGATCCCTTGCGGGGATCCCGAGCATTGGGAGTTTGCTGTTGATGTTCAAGCAAAACCAGAAAAGGGAAACCGCCATGTTTTTAGTGCATGAAATCTCTTCAGATGTCCACCACAGGTTCCATTTTTTAAATGCAAGTGCAGAGCCCTTATCGCAAAGCCTTGCTTTCCCCAAACTATTGAAGCGAAGCATCGAGGAGGGGCCGCAAAGGACTGGCCTTTGTGCTGCGGCAAATGCCCGGAGCTCAAAACTGCCGGCCCCGGTTTCAGTGCCAAGGGGGCTAGGTTTCGCATGTGGCTGTGGTTGTCAAAGCCGTTTTGGGATCCAATTTGGTTGGGATTGGTGAATTCACCACCCATTTTAGGTTAGCTATTTTAGTGGTTGGATTGGGATGTTCACTGGGGGTACGGGATTTTGACCCATGGCCATGTTATGGGGATCGGTGTGGACATTTCAGGAAATTGTCATGTCCTGTTTGCGCCTCGCAAGGCTTTGCCCGTGCATATCGTACAACTCCAACAGGACAGCCGCGAGACCATGACTTGTCAAGTGACAGTTTTATGCTGACACATGGGTGTGGGTCAAAATTGAACCACCAGGATATGGACCACAGGTTTCAGTCCATGTTTCCATTTACCAGGGCAACCCATTTTAGGCATCGAGCTTTGACAACCACAGCCACATCTCGACATCCGCCTCAGAACCCGCAAGCTGGTGCACGGCGACGGAATCAGTGACTCTGAGTCGGAAGGCCGGATTTGGGTTTGATTTTGCCGGGTGCAAGGACTGCTTCAAGTGGATCTCAGGGTCTGAAGTTGCTAACAGTTGCTCTCAGACAACCATTTCAAACAGATTGTGGTGACTGGGGCAGCAGCCACGTCCCACTTCCACAAGCAACCGGAGCCACCAGAAATTCATTGCTAGTTCAGATCAGTATCAATAGCATCAACTTTCCAAAGCAAGCACTGTGAGTCTGTGACTGCGGCTGACATGGGAGGCTCTTTCAGCTCCACCAGCTCGGCCTCATGGACGTGACGTGCGCCCAAGTGATTGGAACACACTCGTTCTTCCCAAACGGGCGAATGGGTGAAACTGAACTCTTGGCATGAGAATCGACTCCTGCGCCAGGCTGTGCCAAGAACAGACCGTTTGACTGGATGTCGTGCTTTTGTGTGGGAGATTCTGTTCGACAAGCACAGGTGTAACTGAATGTGATTCCCCACAGTTTGAGTTGGGACAGGTACACCCGCAAGGTCAGCCCGCGTTGCAAAACAGAGGCTACCACGCCACACATAGCCTTAGTTCCGCGTGGACTCGATAGCCTGTTTCACTGAGCTCGTGAGCCAAGCCGAAAAAGTGCCGGATTTGGAATTGTCTTCTCTGCAAAGTCCCGAGTCCCGAGTTTGTGACGCACCCGGCTCGCCTTCGTTTTGTTTGGAGAAGTGCAAGGTTCTCAAGCAAGTTCTGGTACGCCCCATTGCACGGTTCTGTATCTGGACAAGTGAAAGATTTAGGCCCAAGCATTTGAAGTCAGGTACGGGCGCAATGTGGGATGGAGTCTTGCAGGGTATTGGCAATCTGGCCAGCGCCATCACAGCACTACTTCTTGCGGAGATGGTGGTGATGGATGTTGTGCTGCCACCCTGGATACCAACCATTGAGGCATTTGAATCTCTGGCTGGAAAATGGCAAGCTATGGCTGTGCTAGGCATCATGAATTCATCTATTGCATTTTGGGGTATTGGTGGGCTTTTCGCCCTTCCAGCGTTGTTGAAAGTGAGCCGCTGGAAGATTCAAGCCAAAACCTGTGATGCTTCGATGCTGCTTCGTTCTTTGCCGCTTATCACCTTCAACCATTTCTTGGGCGCAGTGTTGGCTTTGCCGATCTTGCGGTATACCTTGCCGGAGACTTCCTTTGACTGGCGTGCCCTGCCATCCACAAATGTCCTGGCAAGAGATGTTTGCGTGTGGCTGGTGGTGGAGGAGGTGCTGTTCTTCTACGTGCATCGATGGCTGCATGAGAACAAGAAGATGTACGCAGCGGTGCACAAGCTGCACCACACCTGGACAGCTCCAGTGTCCTTGGTAGCCATTTACTGCAACCCCTTTGAACACGTGGTCTCAAACATCCTTCCCGTGCTTGCTGGACCCGTCCTGTGCCGTTCGCATGCGGCAGCCTTTGGGGTGTTTCTGTTTGTTGGCACCATTCACACCCTGGCCGTGCATTCTGGCTATTGGATTTGCGACGACAAGGGCATGCACGACGAGCACCATGCTAAGTTCTCTGTGAACTACGGAGTGCTGGGTTTGATGGATGCTCTTTACGGTACTTATCAGCTTCCCGCTGGCACAAAGAGTGCAGACTAAAGCTGCTTCCAGAAGGCGCTTGCAGGAGAGCAAAAGAAAAGCAACATATGGCTGTGCCTCTAAAAACCGGTGCCAAAATGGAACCCTGGTAAGTGGAAACATGGACCAAAACCTGCGGCTTGCCCCTCCTGTTTAATTTTGAGCCACACCCATATAGCTTCAGCCGCCTGCAACTGCCCATTGCCCGGGAAAGTTCGAGGGGTTCGCTGTTGCAAATTGGAAGACGTTGGGGCTGTTTCCTCGCCAAGCCCGGGCTCCAGGGGGGGAATCGGGGCTGTCTGGCTTTCCGGCCTTTGTGCAGCACTGAGAGATTTGCCCGAGTGCCATTCATGCCATTCTTTACATTCAGTCACGTTTCCTTTAAGGCATTGACATAAATGGCCATTGTTTTTTGTGGTTCACGTTTCGACAAATGCAGCGACCGCCCTCCATTCGAGTTAGGTTGGCATCATGCCTGAGGGCGCGAACCAGAGGCCTGGCTGGAAACGCCATCAGTGTATGCTTCAAGCAGCATATGGGAGGTGTGTGAACAGCCGCATCAAGAAGCCTTCCACTCAGCCAAGCAGGTGTGATGCCTTGCGCAGCCTTGCGATTTGCTGAGCAAAGCAACCAATGCACAAGGCTTCAAGCACTGCGAAAGCAGTCTCTCCGGAGGACATTCTGCACGCGCAGCCGTGGGCTCTTTATTGGCCAAATTGGTTTTGGTGGAGAAACATGCGGTGAACAATTTTCGTTATACGGTCACGCACAGAAGGCCATTAGGCGTGAAGAATAGAAGACTCCTGCAGATGACAGGAGATACGGGCATAGTGCCCGAGCATCCGCACTCTTCGTGGCTCGGCTGGCTTCTGGAGCCTTTGGCACATGCCTACAGCTGGAGTTCCGAGCTTCGCAGGTGGAGCGAGGTGGGGGCACGGCGGCGAAGGCGGCCGGCAGGACTCTCCACCCAAAACCCTGGGGAAACAGCTGGTTTTTGAAAAGAACGATGGTTGAAAAGAATGGGGAATCAACCCCTAGACCTTTGATGACGTTCCACTTCCGCACGGCAAGAGAGCAGCGTCTTCAGCCATGCGAGGAGACGATTGGCCCCTGTGCCCAGTGACGAGGATTGGGCTAGGTTGGATGAGGAGGATGGCCTCATCAACGACGCACTGCTGGACCGTTTGGGTAGCCTCAGAAATGTAATCTTCATGTTTCCAAGCTGTACTGCTCCTGAGGGAAATTCGAAAAGGCACACCACGCCAGCAGAAGTCTTCCCTATCTCATTTACAGATTTTGGACACAGATGCTATGGATATCAGTCGCCAATCCTGCTGCAAGCATGAGTGCAGGACTTCTACTTGCAGCGCCTGACGGTGCTCAGTCGGCGTGCAGGTGGGGGAAGGTCGGAAGGACATCAGGGGGAAGGGTTCCATTTTTTGACTGCCCAAGGTGGACTTAAACCCAGGCGTTTCCCTTTTGGGGAAATCAACCACCCCTGGGTTTAAGTTTAAACGGAACCCTGTCAGAGTGTCTTTTTGAGGGCACCCCCTTTTTTGCTGTTTGAAAACAAGACACCAAAAGGAGAACCACCATTTTGGAGGGTTCCCTAACAAAGACACACCCATCAGGAATTTCCTCTCTTTTGATTTTTGTGTAAAGGATACTAGTTGGGGCTGCCCCAGAAATCAAGGCCCCGCCCAACCCCTGCGCCCCGTTTCCAGTGCGAGCGGTTGCCGTCAGACCGGGTGCACGCCTTCAGCGCCCTCTTCTACTCGCGGCTGATGGAGGGCGGCTGGGATCAGGCACAGAGCCACCAGACCCAAGGGCCTTCCGCTGAAGCTATGGACGAACCATGAAGCAAGCCATGAACCAAACCATGAAACAAGCGGACCTGAGACAGTGGCAGGTGCGTACATGGACACGCAGCCTTCGGAGCCTCGGAGTCGAAGATTGGCTTCATGGTTCCACCTGGCTTCATGCACATGGCTCCATGTACACCCGAAATATGTTACCATGTTGGTACCCGAAGTCAACGAACCCTGGTGCTGCTTACATGGCTTCTGATGTAAAGAGGAAAACAGCCTCTGACTGTGACGCGCTTCTACTTTGTGCCTTTGTGAGGGGTGCAACCTAGGCAGAAAGTGGTGGCCGGGATATTTGCCAAGCACGTGCTGTTCGCGCTGAGCTTGGTCGTGCTTGAGCAGGGGGTGAGCTTCAGCTTGCGATGGAGCTGTCGGGGCACCGATGGTATCGTCTTGAGGAGGGGTGGTCCCAATTTGGGGGTCCGTCAGCCTAATTTGACACATACGTCAGATGGGCCACCGAGTGCGCAAATCGCGTCAAGATCAGGTGCCTACACATGATGCCGAGACTGGTCATTGGTGGCTGGCTTTGATCGTCCACCCGCGTGGGCCTTTGCCGGGACACAGCGGCCACATGTGTTGCTCACCATCAAAAGATCGATCCACTTCCTAGCTGGGGCTCATGGACCCCTCAAAAGAGGCTGTGGGTCAAAACCAATGGGATCCCATTTTGGGGTAGGTGAATTCACCGCCCATTTTAGAACCTATTTTAGTGGTTGGATTGGGATGTTCACAAGGGGTACGGCCACTAACATGGCAACTGACAGGGGGTCCCTTCAAAAGGAAATTCAAGTTCCAGGTACCTCCCCACAGGTGCCATGTTAGTTGGAGGAAGGGTATGGAAATTGCCATGCCCCATGGCTCGTACAGCCGTCTTGACCGCAAGCTGGCGAGCGTTCAGGTGGGCCGCTGCGTCCAGCGGGCTGTCGCAGGACTGCAAGCCCTTCATCGCCTTCCTAGACTCCATTGACCCAAGGACTGGGAACTCGGTGAAATGGCTGTGGATCAAAACCGTTTTGGGATCTTTTGGTTGGTAGGTGTACCACCCATTTTAGGTTACCTATTTTAGCGGGAATCGGGATGTTCACTGGGGATACGGGATTTAGACCCATGGCCAAATGGGTCCGCCTCAAGACTTGGTGGTGCGATAGGGCGGGAATGAGAAATGGAATGAACCTGGGGATTCCCTTAGGGGATGGTTTTTCTCGGGGTCATTCCATTTCTCATTCCCTACTGAGCACCAGCAAGAAAATGGGGCAGTTTTCCCTTTCGTTCTCCTTTGAAACCAACCAAAACGGGGAACGGTAAAGGGAAACCAACACGAGACCAAGCACCTGAGGGGTCCTCTATTGCGAGAAACACTCATATCCAGTTGCGACATGGGGGACTGAATTACAACCCCCAAGCAAAAACCAGAAGGACTCCCTAGTTTTGCAATGTACAAAAGGGAAACTGTAGATTTTGACCGGCTGACATGTCGTTGTGCCACAAAAAGGGGGACGGATGGTGTTCGAAGGGAAAGCAAAAGGACGCCAACGACATGAATAAAAGTCGCAGTTCGTTGTTGTAGAATCCTCATGTGTCAAGACTTCTCTGAGGAATTGCTGTTTCTTGTGGAAGCACGCCGCCATGAAGTTAGTCAACCAGAATGAACCGTCTGAACTTGGTCTCAGATGCCTCTAGGCTGTGCTCGGGTATGTCGGTTGAGGATGTACAGGTCCGTGCCCCAGACATGGCAAGTAGTCATTTGCCTCCTGCCAAGAGAGCTGGCTTTCTTGACATGGGCAGACCAAGCGTGCAAGGGCAGCAACCAATTTCCTTGGGTGAGCCTCTTGTGTTGTGGTGATTGATCTGTGCGCGATGTCCGACAGTGCGGACATCAGTTCCAAGCGGCGGAATACTGGTTGTGCAGACATTCAGGCAGCACCGGCTGCGCCTGGCTGGCATCTGGCTCAAGCCACCGCGCGTCGCGTGCAAAACGCGAGTCGCGCAGTGTTTCGGTGGCACTCAGGTCATATAACATGGACGCTGATTTTGACCTGGAAGGGTTCATGGCCACGCAGCAGCAGCAACAAGACGAGTCGCGAAGGCAGGTGCAGGCAGAAGCCCGAGATCCATTCGGTCGGCATCGCTGGGTCCGTCTTCAGAACCTCCAGACCACAGCTCTCAACGGCAAATATGCAGAGGTTCTGGTTCTGGCCAACCAAGACACTCGGCTCGGCGTGCGCGTTCAGGAAGCGGCGGCCCCCAAACTCATCAAGCAAGTCAATCTGATGGCCATTGCCGATGAGGAGACCGTGCGGGTCTGCCGCATAGCTGCAAAAGGGGAGGAATCCTTTGTTGGTGGCTACATTCAGGACACACGCTGGCCCCTTGCCATTCTGGAGAGCATGCCATGGACAGTTTCCCCCATCTCTGCTCGGCTTGGCTTTCCGCTGCGTGTAACTCGCGTGAATGCTCGCTCCAAGCTCTCGCACCGTGGAGACTTTGACAACCAGTGGGCCACTTACATGCTGATTGACGAGCGATCGGGCTTCGCACCAGACGAATGGCAGGCTTTTGTGGGCCCTGTCGTGGTGTGGAGGCCAGATGGAGATGTTTCTTCAGATGACATGTGTCTTCTGAACGACTTCTTGTCCAGCCTCCTCGATGGTCCGTACAATGACGGCACACTGAATCCTGACCGTGATCTTACACCTGCAGCATGGGCTCACCACCGGAGACGAGTTCTGCAGAATGCACAGCTGAACCCGCATACTGAACAGTATGAGGACCTGCATATCTGAGTCCAGGTGGCACACCCGGGCAGAAATGTCTTTATCCTGAGCACCGAGGTGCTACCTGTTTCGAATCATCATGTGTGAAAGTGTACAGATCTGCTCTGCAGATGGTGCTTGACACCGACGTTCCATTTGCTTGTCCCTCACATTGACATGATTTCAGCTACAGCTACGCGGGCGGACAGGTAGATAGGCTGAGCACGGACGGGCAGATTCCGTTTACTTCTTGGAGACTGGCCGTCAGTGACGTGGAAAGGCTCCGGCTGTTTACATCTCTTGGAGGATGGGGAACAGACACTTTTGCCGGCTTCCAGCCAGAGCCATATCCATCAACCCCATCCATTTCTCCCATCTATCTCCAGACCTCCAGCACTTTTCGCTGGGGTTGATTCCAATTCCATTCTTTTCAACCATCGTTCTTTCCAAGAACCGGATCCGTTCTCCCTGGGTTTCCGGAGGTTTTCTAGAAAGATTCGGATCCCTGGAAAGAACGGACGTGGAAGGTGCCCCTAGAACAACCAGAGGTCTTGCTCTGTTTTTGCCCCCGCCGCGGTTTGTGCGTTCCTTTTGAGGTGGCGGCACAGGCCGCCGCGGCGGCTGAGCCGCGGCATCAGAAAGCCTTGGAGCTTCTGCGGGACCGGGCATGGACCGTTTGTGATTTGGCTGTGGTTGTCAACACCAATGGCGGGATCCCATTTTGAGGTAGGCGCACCACCCATTTTAGAAACAATTTTGGTGGGGACTGGGATGTTCACTGGGGGTACGGGATTTGGACCCATGGCCATTTGTATCTGTCAAGGGGTGATGGTTCAAAAAGGGCACCCGCAAATGGCTTGCCGTGGCAACTGGACACGGCTTTGTGGTGGTTTAATTTTGACCCATACCCAAATCACCCAAATATGGGATGCGCATCTCGGCCTTCGCGAACCTCAGTTTGACAGAGACCTCATTTTTGGGGGGACGGACTGGGTGAATCTGGAAATGGGAAGGTTGCCCAGTGCCGAAGCAAAGGCATCTGTTGGGAAAAGGCTCTCCTGCATGATGGTGCTTGGACTGAGAAAGCGGTGCAAACAAGCTCGAAGACAGGATGTGAAAAATAGGTACCCAAAATGGAACCCTGGTAAATGGAAACATGGACTAGAACCTGCGGTCCCCTGGTGGTTTTATTTTGACCCACAACCAAATGAGATCTGGGAGTGATCAGCCCCTGTCCCACGGCAACTCACTGAAACAAGAATGTTTTTGCCTTGACCCGTAGGACTACTTGAAGAAGGAGTGGTCAGCATGCACGTGCCCCGGTTTCCTGAGCTCAACGCACTCGTCCTGGCCATGTGTCTGAGGTTTTGGCTCTGCGGCTGAGTTTTGCCCTGAGAACATACCCGGCATCTCCCTGACGGTGCCCCAGCAGGCTTGGCTCCAAGTGCATCATGAACACCTGAACCACAATCAAAACCCGGGTAGATGAAGGTTAGCAAAGCCAGAAATTAGTCGCGACCGCCTTCTTAATTCTTTACATGGTTCTGGGTAGACCATTGAAATACGGGTTTTGATTGTGTCTCACCTGTACACATGCTACCCAAACCTGTGCACCCACCTTGTGCCGGTAGAGATGTTGTTCTGCGCTCAGACCAATGGGACCGACTGCGGAGTCTTCGTGCTTGAGCCCGGCTCTGAACCTCTGAACCGCACTCTCTGCCTTTCCAAGTGCTGACTTGAGGTTTGCTCGTCGCCTTTTGGATGACCCTGCTGCGCTGGACTACTTGTGTGCTTATCAGGTGCCGAGGGCGACCGGCACGGGGCGAGCAAGGGAGTTTGTCCACTCCTTGGCCACATTCTCATGCTTGCCCGTTGGTGATACATACATGGCAGCATAGGAGCCCAACAACGGAGAGTATATTCATGTGCAGATGTTTGGTTGGAATGCATGAGGGGCATTCTCGCTCTGGGTACTGGTGAGGTATGTTCCTGACTCCACGCCTGTGGATTCCTTTGGGATCGGAACAAGTCACAGAATTTGTTTCCATTTGGTTTGTCTCCAAAAGAGGGTTCCATCAAGCAAACACTTTAAGATTCCTGTCAATTCGGGGCAAGGACAGGGGTGCTACCTCACATGGGGTTGTGTCCATATTTTTGGGATCCTTTTGCGAACCTACACAAGAGATGCAGAGGCTGGTTTTCAGCACTAGCCTACCAAGAGGTTGTCTTTTTACACCAGCTTTGGGGGGGGTGAGGGGGGCGGGGGTACTTCTTTTTTTTTGTGTTGCTTGAAAGGGACACCCAAAGGAAAACCACCATTTCGGGGTTGTCCCCCCCAAAAAAACACACACACACACACACACACGTAAAAAAGAAAAACACACAAAACCCCCTTTGCCCTCAAATTATAATATAAGGGCGCCCCCGTCGTCTGTTCTCCGACCCCCCGGCTGCCGCCAGCAAACAGCGCCAGGCTTCCCCGCCGCAGCTCTCGGCGCCGCCCTCCGGGAACCTGCGCCGGCGCTGGCGGAAGCTGGGCCAGAAGCTGGCGGCGGACGCGAATGCGAGGCCGCCCGAAGGGGCCGCCCGTTCTTTTTTTTCTCCTTCGCTCTTTTGTTTCTTCTTCTCTTTCTTTTGTTTCTTTTTTTATTCCTATTTTTGTTTATTTATTTTTAGTTACTAGTGTTGTTGTTATCATGATTATTATTATTATTATTATTTATTTATTATTATTTATTATTATTATTATTAATTATTGTTATTATTATTATTTATTATTATTATTAATTATTATTATTATTATTATTATTATTATTATTATTATTATTATTATTATTATTATTATTATTATCATTATTATTATCATTATTATTATTATTTATTATTATTATTATTATTATTATTATTATTATTATTATTATTATTATTATTATTATTATCATGATCATTATTATTTATTATTATTATTATTTATCGTTATTATTATTTATTATTATTATTATTATTATGTATTATTATTTTTATTATTATTATTGTTATTATTATTATTTATTATTATTATTATTTATTATTATTATTTATTTATTATTGTTTATTATTATTATTATTATTTATTATTATTATTATTATTATTATTATTATTATTATTATTATTATTATTTATTATTATTATTTATTATTATTATTATTATTTATTATTATTATTATTATTATTATTATTATTTATTATTATTATTATTTATCATTATTATTATTTATTATTATTATTATTATTATTATTATTATTATTATTATTGTTATTATGCATCTGGGGTTTCGGTCTTAAAAGGTCCTTTGCATGGGGTGACCATTGAAGAAACCACCCAAGAAGGGACTTCCACTTGATGGGAGAAGTTGTCCATGTTGGGGCCAGACATATTTTGAACCCCCCATGGGTTTCAGTCAAACTATCGAGTATTATAGATTATGGTCCATGTGGGAGGTCAAATGTCCCACAAACACCAGACACACTTTTCCCACGCCCTTTTTGCAGGAAAAGCATATTCTGACCTTGGCTCATTTGGGGTTGTCTTCTTTTGAGGTACTTTTTGGTGGGGTTCAAAGGCAAACGAACCATTCTAGGGGTTTCCCGATTTTGCGAGAACCCCATTTCGAGTCGCAGGCTTGTGCGTTGACCTTGTGGTCTGGAAGGGGAGGTTGGTGAACTGTCTCCCCGATACTCACTGGATGGAACAACACCAGGGTTCCAGTTGACTTCCCGGCTTAATCCCAGAAGACTCCCTAAATGAGGCATGTCTTTGGGGTTGTCATTCCTCGCGAATCCTGACATGTGCTGTTGGGACCCTATTTCACCGCGTTGAGGGTACTTCAAACTCACGTTCGACGGATGCGGGAACCCAGGAACAGGGTTTGAGGGCCAGGCCGACGCGTCTCATTGGCTGTGTAGGACGCAATACTCATCTGGCTTTGCACATACTCACAAAAGTGCACTGTGCAGACGAACCTGCGGGTCTTCACCTGAAGAAGGCTGCCCACCGGCGCGTCTCCATTTGTCATTTGGCTCAGTAGCTTGGGCCCTGCGGAGTTTCCTTCCGTGGCCAAAGCCAAGTTCGAACTTCGGACATGCGTCTGCCAGGCCCATCGCCACACCCGCCAGGGCCAAAGAGGAGGCGCTGTGCGTGCGAGTCGGCGCCGCGGGCGAGTCGGTCACAGGCATCCAGGATCCACAAAAATCGAAGAAGTTGGGGTTCCAGCGTGCCAACCATTTTGGCACCTTCTTGGGGAAAAGAAGTAGCAATGGGGAATGCACAAGCGAAACTCCAGCCCATTTTCAGAAGCGCCCCCTGATTCATTGACCGCCTGAGACGATCCAATGCATTCACGCGTTGCGGCCGTGCACCAGTGCGTTCCATATCATGAATCATCAATCATTCTTTTCAGGTCTTGATTGTTGTGTGGCTTTGATTCCGCTTCCGTGTGCAGACCGATCGTTGCAGTTGAACTTGCAGCAACACCCAACTGAAAGGGTGTCAGTGTACAAAGAGCCTGTGTGAAGGGCGCAAGGTTGCGGCAATTGGACAAGCACATTCGATACGGATTTGATCCCGCTTGCTTTTCATTTGATGAGTGAAAGGGATTTGCTGAAGGATATAGATTTTGTGGAACTTCTGCGGGGGCTTCGTTAGCACAGTGATAGTCACCTGCAATGAATATTGAGGCATACTGTGCATACCCTGGTCAGTTTCGGGGTTCAACTCATTGAATGAAGCCTCTTCCCACTGAGCTAGGCTTGCTGCGGCCCAGCTTGCCGTTGGATGTAACACCCGAATGTTGACCCTTTGCAATTGTGCTTGCATGACCCTCAGCGCAGACAAATAGTGGCCGAATTCCTCTTATCGTCCTCAAGCAAGTTAATGTCACTGCATCTTGGACTAGAAAGCTTCCATGCAAGATGATCAGTCTACCTCACACCCCGCTGGAGGCAAGATAATCTTCAGTGCGTTCTGTCAGTCTTGCAGCCAGGTCAAGCAGCCTTGCAGAGAAACGGAGAAGCATGAGACGGGCAGGCAGAGGACTCGCAGTGTTTCTTCCAATCTGACGCATTGCCCAACCCCCTCCCCCTGCTTGGCGCCTTGAGGAAGCTGCGGAGGGCCGAGAGCAGCGAGTCGGAAGCGCCGGACATCCAGCTCCTGGACTCGGATCTTTCGGGTCAATTCATGGGAGCATGGCAACCTGAACCTGTCCATTCGTGACTTTTAGGTGCCCTTGAGCTCCGTTGGGCCGGGTATAACTTTCTCACTGGAAAAAGACAGAAGAGCGACCGAAAAGGCTTGCAGAAGAGCGGAGATCCAGACTTTCCTTGTTCCGACGATGGTCAGGAGGCAATGCCAAAACCTGACTAAACTCGCGAGGACTCTCATTTGCAGCGCTTGGCATCTGGCAGCTCTTGCGCAGGCATCCGGGATTGTACACATCACAGCCAATGCAGCTGCTTCATGCGAGCATCACCGAGATCTCACCATGGTCAAAACTGCGATCAAGACATGGAAAGCTTTACCTTCAATCCCTCAACGTGGGCCCTCTTGGTAAATGGAACCAAAGAGTAAAACCTGCGCAACCCTAGCTCCTTAATTTTGAGCCACAGCCACATGTAAGGAAACAAGGCTATCCCAACAGACTTGGGGCATGGCGCTAAAGGGCATTGAGCTCGGGGCAGTGGGGGCTCGGCCGCAGATCGGGCCTTCGCCTTTGACAGCCGGTTGCACAACTTGCTGCTGGAAGGCAAGTGGTCTGAGGCTGGGCAACTGGCTGGGACCTGGGCCCCTGGGTGTAAGATGCCTATGGTTCAGTGCGTGGTGTTTCAAAATGGGCAAAGGGCTCAAAAGGATTCCCTGCTAGGCGTCCTGTCTTGCAATAAAGGCCATCCAATCAGAAGTGACACCTTGCCGATTCCTGTGCCGAGTTGCGGTCGTGCCAGGTGAAGACGCTCACATCAGCTCTCAGGCACGGGGACCGACGGTTGTGCCAGTCCTTGAGACTCGGGCAGCTGAAACTGGCATGTGCGAAGGCAAGACATGGCAGAAGGCATCTTCTCGCGTGACGTCATCATGGTAGGGTGCTCAGAAATGTTGTGGCAGAACCTTCTGAGCAGTTGGCAAACCAAAACTGCCAGCTGGAAGATCTATTACGTACAGAGCAGCTATTCAGCTCGGCGCTTGAGAGAGAAGCAACGACCAAGCACCTGGCTTAGGTGCCCTTGCATGACGCGGGGCACACATGGCTGGCTCTCATTGTCCAGCCGCTGCCACCTCAGATCGATCGATCGATCGATCGCGATCTCGCTCGGTCGATCGTTCTCGCGCCGCTCCCAGCACAAAATGGGCGGCTTCTTGCAGGTGGGCTGCCGCCAATGTCTCCGAGAGCGTGCTGGAGTCTCTTCCTGGCCTGGAAGCCTTCGTTGCATGGTTGGACCCATGTGCCCGCAAGGCCGGGGCTTGCAGCTGGTTTTTGACTTTCAGGCAACAAGACTTCGCACATAGCCATTTTGGAAGCCGCGTTTACTCCTGAGGATCCCTAGCAGAGACTGGCGATGGCAGGGGGCTTCACTGCAGAGCAATGGATTGCGGGCAGGCCTCCCAAGATGTTCGCAGACGCGCGCTGAAGCTCCTGCAGGACAAATTTTGCAGTTGCAGTGGTTTCATCTGGATCTCTGAAAGTGAACACTTGGAGAAGTGCTCAGAATTGCTTGTGTGGGTGGTCTCCCGTAAGCCACCATGAATCGGATATGGGTGTGGCTGAAAATTAAAGAGTCAGGGTTACTCAGGTTTCGGTCTTTGTTTCCATGTACCAAGGGACATTTTAGGTACCATTTTTTGAACCACAGCCAGATGTCCCTTTGATGGACCAGTCATCGCTTTCGTATCGCACCAACCTGCGACCTGTCTGACTTGAATCAGGACTTCCTGAAGAGGGAGTGGACGGAGTGCGGCTGCCTCAATTCGGAACCCGTGGCCTTCTCCGTGGAAGTGTAGCGCGAGCAAGAGCACTCAACAGGTTTATCATTGGGAAATGGGGGCGGGGGGGGGTGCCAAAATGCATGCTGTCATTGGGGAGAATGAATACTGGCCAAAGCCAGCATGTCACATGAACAACTGACATCAGCTGGTTTCGGAGGACGTGAAGGTACCATCAAATTTCCCCCAGCACCACGAGGGGACCACAGAACTGTCCCATATTCATTTTTAGGGGACCCGTAATATTGCTTGTGCTCACACAGCATCAGGTATTTGATACATATATATATATATGTGGGAGTCGTTCTAAAGGTCCTTGTAAGGAGTTTAGTATTCGGTGACCATCGGTGTTGGTTGAGGTAGCTCCGCGAAAGATTCGCGATGGAGTTGCGAAAGTAACTTTTTTTTCTCGCGAAAGTTTTGCGTAACTGTATCTGGTTAATCAATGATATGTGGAACCGTTCATCTTTTCTGCTGAGCCTTCCTTCTATTCTGATTAAAACACTTTGTTGATGTTGCGCTGATTAAGCCTGGTGAGGCTACAGTTTGATACCCTGCTTGGCTGGTTAGTGCTCCAAGCCTGTGTATGTGTGTCTGTGGGTGTTAGTCGGTGATACTAACTTGGTACTGGAATCTGCGACTTCAAGCTGGAGCTGCACGGCGAACGAAAAGCTGCGACTTTCCAGCCGGCGCATGTCATGTACTACCCCTGTGATGAAAAGTTGCGACTTTACAGCTGGAATTGGGAAATCGTCATTTCGCTTACAACGCTGGCACTTAAAAGCTGCGATTCTCCGACTCGAGAAATGAAAAGAGCACGGCGATGAGTCCGCGAAAGATTCGCGAAAGTAACTTTTATATTCGCGAAGAATGGCCGTTTCGAGACAAAGGAATTTAGATCAACCACCATACATATGCGTTTTTTAATGGAAGGAAGCGCAGTATTCTGCTGCCAAGTCGCATCTTAAAACCCGGCGAGGTTTCGGTTTGGCCAGCGACTACCAAGAGGCTCGCATCAAGGAGGTCTTGTTGCAGGTGCCGGAGGCCGCGTTCTTAGCAATGATTTCCCCAAAACAGGGGTTCTTGCAGAATCCCAAAGTCTAAGCCTAGTTTAGGGGGACTAACAACACGAGATCCTGGCACTTGGAAATGATCACCGAGGGAAAGCGCAGTGGTGCAAGCATTCTGGAGCTCGCGCCTCAGTGAGAAGCCTGATCGCTGAATCACTGTTGTTGCCCTTTCGACTTGTCTTGAGGCTTGTGAATCGATTGCTGGAAAGTCCCCGGCTGTTGGATCACTTGTGCAGCTCCCAGGCGAGGCGAGAGTCCGACGCAAGCCAGTCTGATCCATTGAGCAGTTGATCTTTTTTGACCAGGGGATCTTTTATCCACCCTAAACAAAGGTCCTTGATTTGTAGCCGTCGTCGCCATCGTGATGATCGCATGGTGCAAGTAGATTGTTTTTCGGCAGCCATGTGAGGGACGGAACACCTTGAGTTCCAAAGGGATGCAGCAATCAGCAATTGTTTTTTTCTTCATGGGAAAACCATGCCACCACACTGCAAGGATCTTCGCATCGTAGGCTTTTCTCATGGTTTTCCGGTACTGGCCCCCTTTGCTTTAAGACGTATATTCATACCGATCGACGCAGTTCGTGGTAGTCTATTGTTACTAAGCAATCGTTTTGAACTCGCACAGTATTGTTAGTGTGAGGACCAACAACCAAGGGGAGCCACCCCAATTCTCCTATCTTGGGGACACAATGCCGGTCCAGCCAGGAGTCGCCGCTCGAGCTGCTGGCCCCCCTTGCCCGCAAGTGGAGAAAGCTTTGAGCGCGCGTGCCGTGAACTCACCAGGCCGGAGGCTCAGTTTGCATGAAGCGAGGCTTCACCCTCAACCGAGTCCTGATGGCGCACAAATGTATGTTTATGAGGCATGGACTGTTGGTTTCAAGGGTTCTGAGTGTCTTTAGTCCTGTATGTTGCATACGGATATCTTTGTTTGTGATCTGTTTGTTTTAGAATTTACGCAGGATATTCAGGGATTCTTCGCTCTTTGATCGGCCCTTTCTTTGGGCTCCGCGGACTCGATTCCAGATACTTCACGCTGGACTTGCGAGTTTTGCCAGTGTGAAGTATTGCTGAAACAGAAGCTGGGTGCAAGCAATTTACGTATAGTTCCCTACATGAACAACACCTTTTGTGGAAACCACTGGCAACCACATGCACGGCATTTTGCCACAATCACATTGCTGAGTAGGCCTGGACATGCTTGTTTGAGGGGCAAACCTTGGCTGGACCTGGACAAGCACACCCGCATGCCACACGCCCGCCTGCTGGTGTGTACGCATGCACGCACGCACCCACGCGCCCACCCACGCACGTAGTGAGCGCACGCACTTAGCAAGGTGAACGGCAAGCGGTTGTACATGCGGGTCGAGCGCTTTACAGAAGGACCTTTACGTACCTTGATTCCTTTGGCGCTTGCCGAGCCGTTTCGGCTTAGGGAGTTGCACGGCCTCCATTGCCTTCTATGGATGATGGCAACATGGACAGACTGCCAACAGCACCAGGTGCTGAGCCGGCTGTCCCCATGGATGTCGATCAGGATGGCCAGACCATAGTTCTGGCCATGGGTAACAACTCTGATGGGCAGCTTGGGTGTGGCTTGGTGGAAGATGACGACGACAAGGTGTTTGAGCACACTGAAATTCGTGCTTTCGAGGGTGTTGCCATCAGAAGTTGTGCAATGTCTTTGAAGCACACAATCTGGTTGACCGGCGACGGAATGGTGTACACAGCAGGCGACAATGATTCCGGGCAATTGGGCCGCACCGGAAAGCGCACGAAGCCTTTCAAGATTGAGTCTATTGAGCATATGCAGGTGGAAAGCGTTGCAGCTGGCAACGGTTTCACAGTGTTGACAGACAAGGTTGATGGTCGCTTGATGGGGGTAGGTCGAGGAGATCGAGGGCAATTGGGTATGGGTGGAGCTGATCGAGATGACAAGGAACGCATCAAGTTTTCATCTGCTTTGGGGGAGCAGCTATTGCAAATTTCTGCTGGAGAGTCGCACTGCCTGGCTTTGTGCCGCTCTGGAAGGGTTCTCGGATTTGGAGAGAACAAGCACGGTCAGCTGGGCGTGGGGGATTTTGTGAGCTCGGCTACCCCCAAGCCTGTCCCCTCCTTGCACAGCCGGCCAGTGGTGCGGGTGTGCTGCGGCGCTTCTCACTCCTTGGCTCGCACGGCCACGGGTCTCTTATGGGCGTGGGGCTGCAATGAGCATGGGCAGCTGGGCCTGGGTGATTTGAAGCCCCGGTTCCGGCCGGAGCAGGTCAAGGCCATGCGCGTGTCTCGCTGCGTGGACGTTGCGGCGGGGAGTCGCCACACCTTGGCCATCACGGAGAAGGGCTTTCTGTTCGCCTTCGGTGCGGGAGGCAGTGGCCAGCTGGGCTCAGGGGGCATCGCGGAGGCAGAGCCCTACCCAAAGGTGGTGGAGACTTTGAAGGAGCTGGGCAAGTGTTTGCAGGTGGCGTGCGGGCACAGCCACAGCCTGGCCCTGGTCCAAAATGAAGATTCACTCAGAGAAAACATTTTCGCCTGGGGGCTGGGCTCCAGCGGGCAACTGGGCATTCCAAGAGATCAGCTGCAAGACAAGAAGCTCTCGCCTTTACCTCAGAAAGTGAAGTTAGACCCGAACCTGCGGGTCATCAGCTTGTGCAGTGGACCGCTGGCCCACCACACCTACCTGCTGGTGGCTCGTGGCGGCACCGGCGGATATCCCCGCGAGAACGCGAGCCTGAGCCCTCGCCTGTCTCTGCGGCACTCGTTGTGCACCGCCATCGATGCTGATGACCTGCTGCAGCTCCTGAGAGGTCTCAGACCAGGCGAGACACATCAGCAGATTGCTCTGGTGAAAGCAATCGGTGCGGCCTTCAGTTCGGTCAGTGTCCTCAACGCGTCCTTCCGACGTGCATCGCCGCTGGGCACGACAGCAGAGTCTAGTGGTGTGGACCTCCTCAAGGTGAGAAAGGCATACATCACGCTGGTCTTTGAGCTCAACAATGCTGAGCTGATCAACACGTTGGGACGCGCAACGGTGTCCATTTGCGACGAGCTCTCGAAGCAGCGAGTACCCACGGATGACCCGGAGACTCTTTGCGTCTTCCTGGTGCTTTTCGAGAATCCTCTGCTGCTGGCGGAGCATCGCACCTCCCTTTTCGCAGGCTTCCATGTGGCTCTACAGCGTCTCACCGCCGCGGTCCTCTCCCTGCCCAAGGACGTGGGACAGGGGACAGTTCTTGGCTTCAGATTCTCACTTTCTGCGATACCTGACAGATCCCCAAGAAATGGCAAAGTAGCCCCCAAACCACCAATCCCAACAGGTTGCCTCGATCTCCCTTTATGGAACCTCCAACATTGGCGATCGCTTCAATCAAAACCACCAGTACATTGATCAACTTGACAAGGACTCCCAAAAGCTCCTCTTCGGGTGGCTGAAGCACCTGCCCAGCGAGTACTTCGGCCGTGTGGTGGATGTCATGCAGCAGTACGTCACGTATGTGCTGACGCAACCGGGGCAGAATCAAAGCGACGTGTCCGCCGCGGTCATGATGCTGCAAACACTTTGGGATGCCAATGCCGAGACACGGCAAATAGGCTTTCAAGACGTTTTGCCCCCTTTTTGATGTGCGTTTGCTCGGTTCGAAGCTTTTCGCGGAGTCTGCGGTGTCTTGACTTCCGTGAGGAAATGGGCGGAATTCTGCCGGAGTGGTGCTTCCAAAGCATGGCAATCTCCCAGAGCTTCGATCTGCAAGAGCATTACCGCAGCTCGACTCAATGTGGCTGTGGCTCAAAATAAAACAGGGGTTACGCAGGTTTTGGTCCATGTTTCCACTTACCGGGGTTCCATTTTGGAATTCCGGTTTTGTTGAGCCACAGCCATGTGTTGATTCCTGGGGTTCGGCCACAGCGCGCAGAGTGCGCTGCGAGGTAAGGCGAGAGGAAGTCTGCGAGTTCAGTGCTGAAGCTCAGGTCAGTGGCAGCAGCAACAGTCCTTGGTATTCTCATATTGCCGCTTGCTCAAATAGATTTGGCTGTGGGTCAACACCCTGTACCCCTGGTGAACATCAAACTAGGTGGCAAATCGATGTTCATCCACCCCAAAATGGAGCCATTGGTTATGCTCCATGGCCATTTCTTGCTTGCCAGTGAATCATTCCCCAGCTTGTCCTAGGCAGATACCCCTTCCTCTTGAATGCTGGTGCGAAGCGCAGACTGCTATCCTTTGACGTGGAGCTGCGCAGCCAGATGGCATCCCAAGAGTGCTGTGCCAAGATTATGAGCTCCTTGGCCTGATATGGGTGTGGCTCAACATTAAGCAGGGGTTACGCAGGTTTGGTCCATGTTTCCACTTACCAGGGTTACATTTTGGAATTCCGATTTTTTAGCCACAGCCATTTTGGGGGCACTTGCTGGGACGAGATGCCATAATCTGCCTGCGTTTGATGCCATCCGAAGCTTCCGGGGCTGGAGAACTCCCTCATCCTTTGGACATGTCCCAAATGCACCAAACGGAGGGAGGCTGCTGGCTGAGGAGAGGGTCAGCCCGTTGAACAAGCCTTCCACCAGCTTCTGGTGTACCGGGTTCGCAGAGAGCGTCTTGGTGAAGCCCATGCGGTTTCTTACATGTTGTTGGAAGGCGCATGGCGGCTAGCCTGACATTGACAATACAGGCAACCAAGTGCAAGATCAGATGCGGTGGCATGATCTTGCTGGTGCACGCTGCTAGCAAAGGCATATCCTATCTGACTTCTGCGGCCAGCTGTGGTGGCGTTCGCAAAACAAGCCGGAATGCTTCTTGATCGCATTGGGGTGTGTCCAAAAACGAGATGCGGCCTGCAAAATAGCTTGGATCCTTTTGGTTTCCCTTTGAAGCAGGACAACCAAGAAGGCCCCCCCCCCGCCCCCAAGGAGGTGACGTGGGCTTGCTGCAAGACGAATGCTTGGGTCGGGTGCAGGCTTGTGCCTGCCGCTGACCGTGGACTTCATAGGGGAGCAGGGTGTGGATGCCGGAGGTCTGAGCAGCTCAGCCGCATCCAAAGGTTTGGGTAAGGGAGGGGACTCTGCATCCCAGCCAGACCAATAAAAGCGCAAGGTCTGCGTCGTTCAGTACACAATGGGTAGACCCCTTTAACATACCAGGTCCTGACTGCCCAATCCAGGCCCTGTAATGTTTTTCAGCCCAGTCTACGCGGGCCGTGCAAGGAAAAGAGTGTTTGCACTTGGTCCTCCACGAGCTCTACAAGACGCAGCTTCTTGCCTCCTGGGTGGTGGGCTATCCATGCAGCGCAGGTTGAGTCGACGAAATGTTTGGGTATGTGTCAAAATCCCCCCCATGAATGCAGTTCTTCATTTTGGCTTCCCTTCAAACCAGTTTTCAAAAGGGTACCCTCAAGAGAAACACAGCCCTTTCGAAGCCAGGGCCACTTGGCTCAACGACTGCGGCTCCGAGGCTCTTCACCGAGCTGGACGAATGGCCCGGCCTGCTGTGGTTTCGCCCTCGCCAGGCGGAGGCCAGGCTTTCGGTCAGACGGGGTGATCCGAGGGCTGAAAATATTGGAGCAACCACGACAACGCACGACACTGCGTTTGATGTACAGAAGCTGTTTCTGACTTCAGGGTTATTTCAATTTGAGGCGTTTAGCGCAGTTGGCATCCTTGTAACGGCCAGCTTGGGTTGATGCCTTCTGGCTGAGACTTCCAAGGTGACTGCAGTACCGCCGCCAGACCAGGTCTTGCACGATGAGACGCTTGAATTGCACGCGCAGGGCAGTGGCTGTCAGGTCTCCCAAAAGTCAATAAGTTAAGTGTCTTCACAATTGGCCATTTCATCGCGGGCCTTTCATTGGACTAGAGCTTAAACCTGGTGGTTGCAACATTTAGGAGCTGGGCGAAGCACTTGCCGGAAGTCGCTGGTGCCATAATGGGCTTAGCTGCACCTTGGCCAAATTGGGTTGCCTGAAGCAATGGTTCCATCCTGTCACTATTGCGCTTAGGGTGCTGGTTGAAGGCCACATTTGCATAAGGCTTTGTTTGTTGAGGTGTACAATGCGATCTACCTGGATTTCAGGCACGGTGGCAAATCCTGCATTGCACACATCCGCCTTGGAAGCAGCTGAGAGCATTGTTCTGCATGCGTCGCACGTGTTTGGCAGGTCCCATCCGCTGATTTTCAGATTTCTCGTTCAGCAGGTGAGTCCAAGCCTGGAGGATTTCGGTTGAGTGACCAGAGAATGTGGCACTGGTTGGACCCCTTGTTTCAATGATGCCAAGTGAAACCTCAAAAGGATGGCATTTGGAGGGGTCATAGAGTCATACAGGGAGATGGGCAGATTGGCGTGCCATGTGCGATACATTTGCCGCTTGGTCTGCAGGACCTGCAGAGCCTTCACCCTTCACTGTACAGATCCCTGACAAGTCTGCGCGCATTGGCAGCAAAGGGCACTTGATTCATTGAGCATGAGCTGAACTGGTGAGTTTCCCTTGTGCCGGAAGCTCAGGGAAGCATGACATCCGGCGCCTCGGATTCAATTGTACGAGCTGCTGACCTGATCGACATCTACGCTTCCCTTGTGCCAGGAACTTGTGCTTGACCTGGTCCGTGCGTCTACCGGGATCCGGCGAGGCCGTTGCCTCAGCTTGTCCTTTGCCTTTCTGCAGAGTTCACCGCCAGGATGTGGCCTTGGCCGGAAAGGCGGGAGAGGTGCAGCCTGAAGAGCTAGAGCTCTTCATCAAAGAGTGCCACGGAAAGAAACAAACTTGTTGGTTTGACATGCAACGTGAACGTCAGGCGCATAGTAATTGGTATTGGTGTGTAATGGAGGATGCAACTGAACACCAAGTCATTCGGCAGAAAGAAGGGAACTGCACGCAACCAGGAGGAGTCGCTTTTTGACAATCAGTGAGTTGAAGCCGAGGTATGCGCAGGCTGTTCTCTACGGCGGGGATGAAAGTCAGATCAGAGCATTTGTTCAGTCTGCCTTGCAATGCCGCTCAGTCATCAACATAGAATGAGTTTGCATCGATGGTTTGTTTGCTTGCTTGTTCGCTTCTTTCTTTCTTTCTTTCTTTCTTTCTTCCTTCCTTACTTCCTTCCTTCCTTCCTTCCTTCCTTTGTTTGTTTGTTTGTTTGTTTGTTTGTTTGTTTCTTTGTTTGTTTGTTTGTTTGTTTGTTTGTTTGTTTCTTTGTTTCTTTGTTTGTTTTTAATCCATGGCAAACAAAAGCGAGGCATGGCAGTGGGGCCAGCGTTTTCTCTCTGCACCGCCAATGACTTGGAGCTGCTCGTCTGCGGTCTGCCGTACTTGGGCAACTTCGAGGACCGGCTGCTCATTGGCCAGCGTGAACGCGCGCGCGAGTTCCAGTGTTGGCTGGCTGTTTCAGAATACACTCACTCCCCCCCCCTCCCGTCACCTTTTTTGGGAGTTTTGACAAACACGTGACAAAAAAGGGGGGGCACTTGGGAGGGATACCAGATTTCTAAATACAGTATTGAGACTTCCAAACGACCATGAGTGAGACTACTAACGTCGAAATACCAATGTTTAAATGTCTAAGTCTGAACTCCGGTATTTAGATTTCAAGGGTGACATTTACGGATCCACGATTGCTCGACATTCATGGATCCAACGTTGCTCCCAACGGCGGTCCCCCAGAAGTCCTACATCTTGAATCTAAATGCTGTATTGAGAAGTTTAGATGCAGCAGTTGTAATTCGAGGGGCAAGTTGGAAGAAAAGAGTTTCACAACCATTTGCATGGCAATCTTCAATGTTGAATACGCGTGGTTTTCTGAAGCCGGATTCTGGGCAAGGCTTACAAAGATGCTTTTCCTTGTTGTTCAAGGGAGACTCACATTCCTTGCTGGTCCCGGTTTTTGTCATTCCGGTGGTCTGGCATGTCTCCGTCTTGCTTGGAACGCTTGTTTCCTCTTATTGTTGTAGTGGAATTGCTTCGTGTCCCAAACCGGAGCAAAATGACTTCATACACTCTAGTCTTAAGCTGATTTTAGAGCCTGTCTTCTGGAGTCAAGACTTTGGAGAAATCTGTCCTGGGCAATTTTGAATCTTGAATCCACAATTTATTCTTTTGCACAGATAAGCTTGTTCAGAGAACTTGCTCTGAGAGACTTGCTCAGAGAACTTGCGCAGAAAAACTCTGCTTATTGTTGACAAAACCAAATCGCGGCTAATTTGCTGCGCGGACATAATCTTGCCTACAGAGTAAACTGTTTTTGGGCCGCCTGCCTTCTTTGGTGCAAGGAGTACCTCATTTTCCTTATGTGGGTCCAGTTTCTATGCATTAGAGCGGCTTCTAGCGTGTCTATATGATGTTGATACATCTTTTCTTGGAATGCTTGTGCTTCTTGGAGTTGTGCAATAGAATAGCTTCCTGTCCAAAACTAGATGACATGCACATCATGGACTGCAAGGCTGCGTATCTCTGCTTAAGTGTGCCGCAAGAATAGTTGCAACTGCGGGGCTGTCAGCGGGTCCCCTCCTGCTGATTGAGGGCTAGCGAACGTGAGGAACTGATCTGGACAGGTCTCGACAATTCCTGTATTCCAATCAGGGGACTCCGACTAAGCCACTAGTCCTAAAACGCAATCTGTGATTTCACAAGCCCCACATGTGAGCATGTCACTGGCATCGCCTTGGATCGAGGAGCTGGAAGTTAGCAGCCACTACGCGAATGGCCGCTCAGCCAACACGTGGAATGCCGAGAGCCAGAATAGTCAGGGCATTCATCGCCGGTTGTTTCCGGATTCCTCATTTGTTGTCTTTGTTGGTTCGAACTGTTTGCCCCGGAAATGCACCCCGGAAATGGTTAGATCCCCTTATTGTCTTTGTCGGTTCGATCCCCTCTTTTTTTGAAATACGCCCCCGGAAATGCACCCGGACTTTCCTGCTTCCTGGAGAGCTTTTTGAAGCCGAGGCTTTCATGCAGACCACCCAGTCGTCCGAGTCTTCTGGCGAGTGGTCCATGGCATGTCGGAAATCTGGCCTGGGCCCTATGGGGACTCGTTTTCTATCCAGGACAGGTCGCATGGCCCTTGACATGACCACTCCGGTGCCACCTTTCAGGGGGGTCTTTAAGCGCTTTAAGAAGGCTGGGGTGGTATCCCCAACAGCCCCGGAACCCTCCTGAATGCTGCCCTAAACCACCCCTTATCGTCCATTCGAGCAGAGACCCCATAGCTTCCAGCCGGGGAAACAAAAAATAGATCGAGGCATGGTGTCTCAAAAAATCCAGGCGCCCGTTTTTTCTCGCTACCCCCCGGCCCCTCAGCGCAGCGTTGGCTCCAGACAGCTTCGCTTTGAGGCGCCGCAAGCTGCTGCTCTTCAGCACGGGCAGCGACCGAGTGCCCATCCTGGGGCTCAAGACCCTGCCGCGCGGCGAAACTGAAACCGGAGGTCGTTGGACGGCCAGGCCGCTAATTGATTTTGATTGGTTTAAGCAGAAGCGGGGGGGTCAAATAAGGGGGTTTGGGGGGTGTTTGAGAAAGCAGGATCTTGGATTCGCAAGGAAGAAGCTTCAATCTGGGGATGCAGTGGTGTCCGGATGGACGTGTCTGGGTTTGAGCATTCTGAGCATTTAAAGAGCCTGCTAGGGTTTAGGCTTTTGGTGTGCAAGATGAGAGTGTGTTCGTGCTTTGGGTTTAAGAGTTTCAGATAAGGCTGCTGTATCATTCAGTGCGTAGGCTGTGCCCTCTTGCAAGGAATTTCGTAATATCGCGCAGTACGGCAGAACTGGACCACTTGCCCACTGCCACGACCTCAGTTGACTCCACCGACGCAGCTGAAGAAGTGATGAGCCAAGCTGGCGCTGAGGCAAACACCTGCATCAACCAGCTGAACTTGCCAGAGTATCCCACCGAGGACCCGGCAAGGGTGTGGCTTTGTGTTTCCCGGCAGCGCTTGTTAGGGCTCATGATGAAGACACTTGGACTGAGGAAAATCATCATAGTAAGTAAGAGGAGTTCGAATTTGCCGTGTGCCCAAATTTCCCACCCTCTTGGTCCCGATTACGATTGGATACGGCGTCTTTTGCCGTGGAGGAGATGATGCACGCCCGCTTGCAAGCGGCTCTGGAGCACTACACGGGCTTCGGCTTCGCTTGATGGCCTCACTTGGGTGAAGAATCAGTGGGGGCACGCAGCCATATGTCCGAAAGAGCAGTGCTCACAGGAGCTCGGCCCAAAAGCGCCCAGCGGTCACGGCGAGGAACCTGAGGTCAGGGACAAGGTCTGTGGAGATTTCTGCGCGCTGGCGAGTATGGCAGACTTGTGGAGGAGGATGTCTTCGCTTAGGGACGAGAATACCTCAGACGCGTGAGGGACAAAAAGCGATCCTTTGTGCGAATGCGTACCACATTGTGTCAAGTTTACTTGGGGTGCCACTGGAGCTGTTCAGGTCAAGATGCTACGTCTGGGCGGAGAGACACTGGGCGTGAGGAATTCAGCTGGGTATAGCTTGCATGCATCCATCTTTCGAACGACGAGGTGCAAAACAGGGTGAGTTGGGCCACCACTGCAACTGCTTTGCGACATTTGGAGCTTCAAGTCTGTTGCTGGGCATGGCGGCGGAGCGTGCACCCTCCGCCCACCCAGCCACACGCACACCCACACCCACACGCACACCCACACCCACCCATGCACACACGCACACAAACATAGACACACGCACACATCCACACATACGCACCTACACACGCACACACTACAAGGCGAACACGACCTGCGTGTAAAGGAAGGCAACATACAAATGGGTGCAATCTGCAATACTGTAATAAAACGCAAGGTTTAAGGCTTTTAGACGCAAGCAAGCAGCATCAAGCCGTGTAGTGTCGGAACGTCCACTGAACCAGGCACGCAAAGTGCACAGACATGTGTTTGACAATCTAGGTCTTATAGTGGTGCCGCAAAGTTCTGGATCAATGAATCTCCACGTGAAATGTTGGAAGCTGGCACAAGAAACCATGGCCAATGTTGGGCCAGTGGTTCAATGAGAACGACAAAGTACGCAGACATATATTCGCAGGACTGGCTAAGCATTGAATGCAAGCCCAGCATCGATTGGCATTGCACACTTTGGCTGGCAGCTTGGAAAGAGCACATTAGTTCGGTTGAGCAAGGCGGATATCTCAGGAGGCAATGTACACGCACACAACACCTAAGCCAAGTCAAAGCAGTCACCACACACCCAAGCTTTGATTTGTGCCCGGCTAGTGTTCGCTTTTGCGCGGACCTGGCGCTGGCGCCGAGTCGTGGGATGGGAGATGGACTTCTCCTGCAGCAACTTGACGCGGGAGGGCCAGCTGTGGCACAAGGCCTGGGTGGTCCTCACGCCCTACGCCTGGCAGTCCGGGGGGGTCGCCTTCCTGCTGCGGCAGCTCCGCTCAGAGGCAGGGCTGCAGGGTCGAGAGGTGCGCCACGATGGAAACCCAGATGAGGGTTGGCGCCAAAAGAGGCGGCGCTCCGCCCTTTCTTTTTCTTTTTATGCTTTTGAACACCAGGTTGTGCTTATGACTCAGGCGAGGGCTATAGACCCTTAGAATGTGGGGGTCATGTTTGACAGGAAAACACCGCTTGAAGCAAACCCTTTGGGCTCTCTGATGTTGGACGTGTCTCAGCATGGAGAACCTGGTTTGGTGGCAAAAATCAATCAAACCAAGAAATGCACTCTTTGTGAAGGTCCGCTTTTTTTGGGAAGAAGGGGGTGGTTGGCCGTTCCCTCGTGCAAGAGAACTATAGTGATGGTCTTGAGAGATTCTGGCACTTTGTTTGGGAAGGCAAAGGAACTCAAGGGGGCTCTGACGCTTCCAGTGACAATTCACGTGCGGAAACATTCAAAGCGTCTCTCATCCTTGGACCCTGTCTTTGGATAGATTTAAAAATGGAAACCACAAGAACACCGAATTCAAATCCACATGGATGGATGTTGAAAGGGAAACCAACAGAACGAATTCACTGCAGGAAGGCCCAGGGCGGAAACCAAAAACGACTCAGCCGTGCGCTTAGGAGGCCCTGCAGCCCCTCCGCCGCTTCGTGGCGCTGCAAAGCCGGCGCTGGCGCCGGGGTGGTGTGCGGCGCGGCTGCGCGGTGGCGGCGCTGTGTCTGGCGGTGCTGCAACTGTTGCTGGAGGGAAAGGCGGGGGGGGGGGGGGGGAGAGGGGGGGGGGGGGGTGTTTTTTTTCTTTGCTTTGTTTCTCCTTTGGTTGGTTGGGTGGGTAGGTTGGTAGGTTGGGTTGGGTTGGTTTGTTGGTTTGTTGGTTGGTGGGTTGGGTGGGTGGGTAGGTTGGGTTGGGTTGGGTTGGTTGGTTGGTTGGTTGGTTGGTTGGTTGGTGGGTTGGTTGGGAAGGTGTGTGTGTGTGTGTGTGTGTCTTTTTTTGGGTTGTCGGTGGGGGGAATGGAGGGTGTGGGAGGGGGAGGCGGAAACACGCAAAGGAGAAGGATCGGCAGTTTCTTTCACGCGTACCTTCACAGCGGTGTTCAAAAGGAGCAAAAGTCAGGCGCGTTGCTGCACTCCTTTTGCGACTTGTGAGTTTGTGTCAGAATAGAGAAACAACCAAACTGGGGGGGGAGGTCCTGTGGTTTTCTCTTGAACAACCCCAAAATGGATACCCTCCCAAAAAGGTCCACTGGGCGCTTTTTCGGGGGTAACACCCCATGCCCATGGACCTACCCCAAACCTGGACATGTTCTGAGGATTTTCCAAGAGTGCGGGTTGCTTCATTTGCGGGGGAAGAAACGGGAAGAGAGGAATTGACGGGTTCATTCGGATCACCCCAAAAGGGTAGCTACCCCCAAGCCCCCCCCCCAAGCCCCCCCCAAGCCCCCCCCCCCCAACTACCTACCCGCCCTGAGGCCGGCGGCCCGGCCAGCAGCGTGCGGCAGGCCGTGGAGCGGCCAGCTTTCGCTCTGAGCGAGGCCCTGCGCAGCGGGTGGCCCCTCTTCTACCTTTACCTGGCCGCCTTTGTGGACCTCGACGACATCCAGGCGCAAGACCTTTGTTTGGTTTCTGAGTTTCTGCATTGTGAGGGGTTGTGTGTATTGCGCTCACTTGTTTTTGTTGTCGCGCTGCTTGCTTGCCTGCTTGCCTGCTTGCCTGCTTGCCTGCTTGCCTGCTTGCCTGCTTGCCTGCTTGCTTGCTTGCCTGCTTGCTTGCTTGTTTCTTTGTTTGATTGGTTCTTTGCTTGCCTGATTGTTTGGCGGTTGGGGGGACGATGAAGCTTGAATTTGACTGTCGTTTGAATCCACAGTTCGCCGGCCTTCAGGCAGAGGCGCAAAAAGACAACTTGCCTTTGGACTTGGATGAGATGAATGAAGACTTGGATTCCTGCGGCCATTCAGATTGCAGGACTCCCGCACGTTTCTACAGACTGCACCGGCTGCAGTCCTCCTTGTTTTCAGACTGCCCGGCTTCCAGCCGGGCCATGAAGCTTTTGGGCAGCATGGCGACCTTCGTGTGCGTGCCGCTGCAACCAAATCTCATGTACACGTTCTTGACCCGATTCGGGGTCTTCCAGGACGACTGCGAGGTGATCGCCCGGCTCAGTCCCAGCCAGCAGCCCGTGGTGGATGTGGGCGCCAACATTGGCACCTGCAGCACCCTGCTGGCCTCGCAGCGCCACGACGTCTTGGCCATCGAGCCCTCGGCTCGCGTTGTGCCCGTCCTGCGCGCGTCGGTGGCTTTGCATCAGCGGCTGCAGCGGCCAGCCGGGAACATCACGGTGCTGCAGGCGGCGCTTGGGGCGGTGGACGGCGTGGGATGTTGGGTGGCGCATGCCGAGGACGATACGCAAACTGTGGTGCTAGAGGAGAATGGCTCGGAGGATTGTGCGGCGGTCCCGCTCTGGAAGCTCGACTCACTCCTCCGGGATTTCACCTGGTCCACCCCACACAGCCAGCTTGGCCTGCTGAAGATTGACGTTGAGGGCCGAGAGTTGGCTGTGTTGGAAGGTGCACGCAACGTGTTGGCCGAAAGGCTTTTTGCTGTGGTGGTGTTTGAGTGCTGCGCAAAAACCGCTCCAGAAACCATCGACCAAATGATAAGCTTCTTTGACGAGCTTGGCTACGATCTGTTTGTTTGGCAAGACACAAAGACTGCGCTGCGCGCCGTGAGCGGCCATGCCGACCTGTGCTCGCATGTCCATTGCGCTGAGCGAGCTCTTCCAGAGGCTTGCGCCCACCTAGCATGGCGTTTCGCCTGCAACAACGTGGTCGCCAAATTGAGAGACTGCGAGAGGTGCAACGACTGAGGGCGACAAGCCCAGGAGCACCTGGCGGTTTGAAGGGGGCTACGGCGACGCAAACTGTCAGCTTGCAGCATGCGATGCGCAGTTCGGTCCCAGACCTAGCACAACATCTCCAGAATCTGCGCAAGCGTGTGGACAACCCCAAGAAGAACTTGAGACTGGGCAGATGCTGGCCGCGCCGGGTGTTGGATTGCCTTTGAACTCGGCACACCATGACGCTGCTTTGTCAAGCATGCTGCCGCAGCTATAGCTCGACTGAGATGAGCTTTGCAATTGACCTTATGGCTGGGCAATGCTGGAAGACACCGTTCGTCCAGCTGCCGCATTGCAGGTTTTGAGCGAGCGTCAATCTATCTTGCTCAAAGCGTATGGCTCAAAGGTAGCCGTTTTACGATCGCGAGACCAATCGGCGAATCGGCTGTCCAATGCAATGGTAATGTTGCTTCGGGTCAGGGCTCAAGATAATTCCAGCGCCTTGACACCTTGTTGAATGGGTTTTGAAAAACAACTGCACGCAAACAAGGGCCAATTTGGAAGCCTTGATCCACGAACTCCGCGCTCTCAACAATGCTTGGGTTGCCCCTAGCTTCCCTCTTTAAACCAACCCGAAAAGCATACCCAGGGAAGAACAAACCGGCAGACCCATCCCGCTCCGAGCGCCTTGCCTTCGCACATGGCAAGAAAAGACAAGGCCCGCTTCGAGACCCGCGTCAGTCGCGTCAGTCGCGTCAGTCGCGTCGCGTCGCCGCGACTTCTGGGCCTGAGGAGTGGCCACTGCGCTGCCCTTTGCCTTTGGAGGCGCGGGTGCTCTTTGAGTCTGCCGAACATGAAATGGAAGCAAATGACATGGAGTGGAGTGGTTTGATTGATTGATTTGAGTGGCTTGATTGATTGACTTGAGTGAACTTAACTTGATTTGATTGAGTGGCTTGATTGATTGATTGATTTGAGTGGCTTGATTGATTGACTTGAGTGAACTTAACTTGATTTGATTGAGTGGCTTGATTGATTGATTTGAGTGGCTTGATTGATTGACTTGAGTGAACTTAACTTGATTTGATTGAGTGGCTTGATTGATTGATTTGAGTGGCTTGATTGATTGACTTGATTTGATTGAGTGGCTTGATTGATTGATTTGAGTGGCTTGATTGATTGACTTGAGTGAGATTGGCTTGATTGATTGACTTGAGTGAACTTGAACTTGATTTGATTGAGTGGCTTGATTGATTGATTTTGATTGTTGGCTTGATTGAGTGGCTTGATTGATTGATTTGAGTGGCTTGATTGATTGACTTGAGTGAACTTAACTTGATTTGATTGAGTGGTTTGATTGATTGATTTGAGTGGCTTGATTGGTTGACTTGAGTGAACTTAACTTGATTTGATTGAGTGGCTTGATTGATTGATTTGAGTGGCTTGATTGATTGACTTGAGTGAACTTAACTTGATTTGATTGAGTGGCTTGATTGATTGATTTGAGTGGCTTGATTGATTGACTTGAGTGAACTTAACTTGATTTGATTGAGTGAACTTGACTTGATTTGATTGAGTGGCTTGATTGATTGATTTGAGTGGCTTGATTGATTGACTTGAGTGAACTTAACTTGATTTGATTGAGTGGCTTGATTGATTGATTTGAGTGGCTTGATTGATTGACTTGAGTGAACTTAACTTGATTTGATTGAGTG